TATGGGGGGAGAGGATTTGGGGAGGGGGAGAGGATTGGGAGGGTGATGGGGGGGATAGAAGTTTTGTGGATTGAAGTGGGAGGACTTGGGTATGGGTAAAAGGGAAGGGGCAGAGCTTTGGGAAGAGGGGGAAGAGGACTGGGAGGGGAGAAATGGTGGGGTGGAGTGAAAGGATTAGTGGGTTGAGCAGATTGGGAATAGCAGGGTAGCACATACCTACTGTTCAGTTTCTTGTTCTTTTCAGTTTTGCTCATGGGGGTGTGTTAAACTAGTAGTGAAAGCATGGCAGGTGCTATTTTACAATGCAGCACCACTGTTCAGGGATTCTGAATGATAAGGAGGGGGATTTAAGAAGGATTACAAACCCTGGCTCCTGTTGAACACCATCCAAAGGCCTGCAACTGTTTTTACACTCCGTACCATCACTACAACCATCACACTCTGTTTCTCAGTCTGCCAGGAGTTTATATAACTTCTCTGTGTGTTCCCATGCACGTCACACCAAAAAACAAAATTCCTGTAAGAATGTGTGTTTCCTTAATTTTAATGAGGTCCACATAATAACATCTCCTGGGACTTAAAATCTAACATGCAAGTCAGTGTTCCCTCTAATTTTTTCCATGTGTGGAATAAATGTAAGTGCACAAAGGCATGTGCAGATGTGCACCACCAGTAGAAACAAATTCTACTGGCTGTGGGCACTCTGTTAATCTGCAGGGCGGCATTTGAATTTCTCCTGGGTGGCCTCAGTTTATGGGGAACACTGATGCAAGTTGACATGATGGCTGTTTAATGGAGGATTTAAATAGATTACACACACACACACACACACACACACACACACACACACACACACACACACACACACACACACACACACACCCCCGAAATCTTACAAAGGACACAATAGGAGACCCAGTTTGACAGATGAGATTTGTTTTCTTCTTCAATTTTCACTTGAGGCTTGAAAAATTTACTGAACACCTCCTAACCAGACTGCATTAGAAACATTTGAGCTAAGATTTTCAACTGAGCCTGAGGAGTTAGAAAAATCCGATTAAATTGTTCATCTAAACTTCTTTTAAATATTTAAAACCCCCCAGAATAGATCATTATGAATATATGACTAGCCTCCATCTCATATCTAGCTGCTAGGAAGAAGAGGTAAAAGTGCTCTTACCGTAGGGTTACCAGACTCAGAGCTTTCGCTTTTTGTTTTAGCCTATGACTGTTTGCATCTGGCCCTGAACTATACAAAGTTTCGTTGGTGTAATTTAACCGTTTTAAATCAGTTTAAAGTGGTGCAAATACCCGAGGGTGCCTCTATACAACAGGGCTTAACTCAAAATAAGCTACGCAAATTGAGCTACATCAATTGTATAGCTTATTTCGAAATAGTTTATTTCAAAATTGGGAACATCTACATAGCATTTATTTCGAAATAGAGCACTCCTCCTCCAGCTTCCCTTAATCCTCATACAATGAGGTTTACAGAAGTCAGAGTAAAAAATCCTCCAGCTTGACAGTACTTTGACATTATTTCGAAATAACTGCCTGCTGTGTAGATGCAGACTAAGTTATTTTGAAAAAATGCTAGTTATTTCAAAATCATGTTGCTGTGTAGACATACCCTGAGATATTTCTTACTTCAGTTTAAGAGAAGTTTATTATATCTTAAACCTGTTCTCAACTGACTTAACATAAACTAAAAAAAAGTCACTCTTAAACCAAAATAGCAATATCCACATAGGATTTCCACCTGTTAGAGTAAAATTGGTTAGAATTCACAAAATACTGTTTTTTAAGTCAACATGTATTTACCTTTAGTATGTGCTTTTACTGACAGTAGTGGTTTTTCTATTCAGTAGCAGTAGATCAAAATTGATTTGATTTTTGAACGTTTTACTGCTGCCCTCCATGTTCTGAACAGGAACAGCAAAACTGAATAAATTTGTAAACTTCACTTTGCTGCTGCTCTGAGGTACAGCAAAAGAAAAGTCTGAAATCTATAGCTGAAAAGTGCTAATTATTAAAGTTCTGTATCTGAGTATACAGTATGCTTTACAAAGGTAGGTCAGCATGATCCCCATTTCAGAGATGAGATAAGTCAGGCACAGATAGGTGAAAAAAATTGCCCAGTGACACATTGATCTAATGTCAGCACTACCAGCAGAATCCAAATTTCCCGACAGTTGCTCTATTCACTGAATCACCATGCCTTCATTAGTTTGCATGTGTAAGGTTGTTGTGACAAAGGAGCTAAAAACTATAAATATGCATGCTTAGTTTCTGTAGATATTGATGGGTTAAGTCCTGAAGCTCATCAAAAAAGTTTCTTACTCATCACTGAGTGGGTGAATAAGTGTATATTTCAAGCCGTGTTTTATGTTAAAACTGAAGCATGGCTATCAGTTTAAATGTCTACACACACTAGCTGATTTATTCCTTATCCCACAGTTTACACATAATCTCCCAACATAGATCTGCTGTTACATATAGTATGATCATGCCAGAGGAAGGACAGTTATAGATATTCATCAGTGTGTTAATAAAAGGCCTAATGAAGAGCAACAGTTTTATGCCATAAGAAGCGTTGCCTCAGGAAAACTGATAATTGATGCAGTGACGTACATGATATATAATCAATATTTAATACAAAAAGACATTCTTCC